AGGTACTATAATAGAAGGATACTTTACATAGTTTAATATTAGTTTAATAAGGATTCAAATATAAATATTATATATATCTAACTAGAATAATACCTGAGTCTTATTTAATCTTCTGAATCACGAATCCATAAATTGTACCCAGGTCTTTTTCATAGGTGTATTATAGCAGGAGGATACTATAGTCAGTACCATATAGTAAGTATACTTTGTATATTTGAACCTAAGCAAAGTTTATAATAGCATTAACTGAATATTTTCTGTTAATATAAAATAGTATAATAGAGAATATATTAAAAAAGCTAGAAAATTTAAATGAACTATATTTCACTTTAGAATCTAGCTTTGAACTGCCTAATCTTGTTCAGACTTTACAACTTCTTTTAAATTTTTAAAACCTAAACTAAAGCAATCATTTTATCTAGTAGTTAGATTCTTAGAAGAAAAAATATATTTTCAACTTTGTCTTGATATCTCATTGTAGTTTAACTTTTATTTTCAGATTATGCTTGATTTTACTAAAGCGATTAACATTGCTAGACAATATATTATAACTACGTGCCTTAATATTTTATCTGAAAATGAAGCTTCATTTATTATAGATTATAAAAAGACAAAAAAAAACAAAGCATTTATTTTATGCCTATTCTTTCTAACTGTAAATATACCAAGGAAATATGTAGTAAGTATAAATATAAAACTATTCTTCTAACAGTACTTATTTAACAAAATTTCACCAATTTAATCTTGATTTGTAGATTAAGGTGATTATTTTAAAATTATTTATAAAGGAAAAGTGGTAACTAGAAATAAAAGACAAATTATTATTTTGTTACAAAACTTGTTGTAAATAAATTAAGCAATGAAAAGTATGTTGTATTATTACAAAGAGAACTCTTTTAAGAGTTATTAGTTTTATAACTAAATGGTAATAAAAAAACAACTATAAACATTATACTAATAAACTTTAGTATAATAAGAATCATTTTGAAAAGACTTATTGAGTAAATGACAGAGTTTAGGCTTCTATTTCATAGCAATTAATTATGGAGTATGAGAAACTGAACAATTACAAAATAAATATGTACAGAAGTGTTATACTTATATTCATTTGTATTTTACTCCAAATGCTTGGAATAGAGTGAAAGAACAAATAAATAATTTGGATAATTTAATGTGAAAAACTTCTTCAGACTGAACTATTTGCTTCAAGATTGTGCTAAGTTGGAAGAGAAAAGATTACAATCTGCAGAACATCTTCTTATACTGAAGATGATTTCTAGTTTAGACTATCTTTTTCTAATTTAGAATTATCTTTTCTAGTTTAAAATCATCTTTTTCTAATTTAGAATTATCCTTTTTTAATCTAATATTAACTGTTAAGAAAATTAAAAAAAATAATAAGAAACATACTGAATGATAATACTAAACACTTATAAGAGCAATAGAAGGTATATGCAAACAGGTGGATAAGTCCTAAAAAATTGTATTGAATTGGTTAAAGATAAAATGAATATAGATCATTTTCTATATAAATATATTAGCTAAAAAAAATTTATACAAAAATTAAACATATATTACATATAAAAGTTTTAAAAAATACAATTTTTTTTGTAAAACTTTACAGTATATCAGTCACACAATATGTCACAGGGTAAATTTTTGTATATATAAAACTATAGCAAAAACATATAGAATTATATATAAACTTTATTGCGATGAAATTTCTTCATTTATATATTAACCTTAGAGAATATTTATATATAGCATATGCGATGTTATCACCTCCTATTTTGTATTACAGAGTTGTACAACAAATTTCAATATATCAGAGTTTTAATATTAATAAGTGTAATATAAATAAAACAAAAGGGGGTAAGTACGTACATACGTAGCTTTTTTTATTTTTTTCATTATTCCAAATAAGGTAAAGGAAAATTTTATATTTGCCATAATACAAAACCCAAAACTTCAAATAATATTATTAACTGTAGTATGTACCTGAAACCTTTTGTTAGTTCATATAATATTTACTATAATACAAGACCTGAAACCTTGTTAGATACTGCTATCTTTATATACAATAGCAGTATACGTCTTTAGGTTGACTGCAGTAACTTCATTAAATAATATTGTCTTTAAGCAATATTTACTATAGCACAAGACCCAAAGCTTGTCAAGTGTTATTTTCTTTGTGTGCAGTAACGATATACATCTCCAGGTTAATTACAATTCAACATATATCTTCTGGTTGACTGTGGCAGTTACAGATTATACCTGTAATTTAAGTTTTTTTACATTCAAATATTGTAAAATAGATACTGGTTTGAGCTATTCTCAAGACATAAGAAATTGTTTTAATGCTTTGGATGCGGCTAGTTATTTACTAATAAAAAATTTTTTTTTTAATTTAGAAAATGGTTTTGTAGTAGTTGGAAAACCCAGTAAACTATGTGAAACTAAAGATAATGATTTAGATAAATTAATAATCTTTTGTTTTATAATTATGAGACTTTTCTAATATAATATATAAATAATAGGATTCACTAGTGCTGAAGAAATAGAAAATATTTCTATAGAGCCTATTCTTGAATTAGAGCTAGAAGTATTAGATCTTGCAAATTATTCTTTAATAATTGTTTCTATAGAGCTAAGTATTGAAACTCGATTTAGTTCTTGGAACATTGCTGAACACTATGTAAAGGAATATAGAAGGCAGAAAGGTTTGTAGTAAAAAAATATAGAGTCAAATATTATAAGAATCATACTGTATAATAAAAAAATGAACATTAGCTTGTGAAAATGGAGGCAAATATAAGGCCAATAAGACCAAACCTATCAAACAACAATGTAATAAAGACACAAAGAAAACTAACTGCAAATAACATGTTAATTTGAGTAACCTCGAATATACAAATTACGTACACATAATTTTCATTAATTTTAAACATAATCACACAATAAACACTAATAACAAAAGATTTGCACCGCATTTAGACGTTTTGACAAAAATGTGATGGCAGAGATTGAACACATGGTGGTATATGATCATTATAATGCATACACTATTAGAAACCTGCTTCAACCATTATTCCCTAATCAATTATTTCTTACTCAAGATTTTTCTAACGTGATTTAAAAAATTAAACATAAAAAAAAATTTGTAGATCTGATATTTCTCATTTATTAAAATTTCTTTTAAATCAGCAAAAAGAAGAGCCTACAATGTTTTTCAGCCATTAATTGATGTTAATATTAATCAGTTATGTAGTATATTTTGGATGATGCAAAACCAAATTTTATTGTGGGCACATTATTCTGATGTAGTTTTACATAATAATATATCAAGAACAAACAAGTACAACTATCTGCTGTCTTTATTTATCTTTGTCGATAATAAAGGTAATAATTGGTGCTATAACTCAAATTTCAATTTGTTGTATTTAAAAATATGTACAATAAATATAATTTATTTATGATACTATATTTTAAATTAAGGTAAATTGCATTTAGGCACACAAGTATTTTTAAATGATGAAACTCAAGAGAGTTACAAATAGGTTTTAAAGCAAACTTTGGATGCAACTAGTGCTGAACCACAAGTAATTATTACTGATATGGACCCTGCAATAGATGCAGCTTGTAAAATTGTATATTCTAACACATATCATATACATTGTATTTGGCATTTGTTACAAAATTTGCCAAAATGCCTTAAGTCAAAAATTAGTAATGTGAATTTTAAAGAATTTATTCAAGACTTTTGGAAGGCTCGAAATTCATTATGTGTTAATGTCTTTAAGCAACGATTTCAAGCAATATTAAAAAAATATCTGAATGGATCTGACTATTTGCAAGGTCAAATTTACTTAACTCAACAATCATGGGCTTGTTCGTTTGTGAATAAGATATTCACTGCTAGAATGTAGTTAATGCAACGCGTTGAATCAATTAATGCTTTGATTCACAAAGAAGTTTTCTCCAGTTCGAGTATAACTAATGTGGTTGAAGCTATTGATTTACAAATACAAAAAGAGGTTTTAAATATGAGCTTTATGACATGAAAATATAAAACATTAACATATAGTCAACCTTTTATTATAGACCGTTTATTTAGCAACATTAAGACTTAAATTCAAACCTATTTTTCATCTCGAATTGTTAATGAACGTTATAACCAGATGTGTGAATTGGTTCTATATTATTGTAAAAAAATAGATACTGATATTGCTGTTGAATTTGATGATGATCAATTGGTATGTATAGTCATATTTGTATTTTATTTTTAATATTTATTTCTATCTGAAATTATATCTTTAGTCAGTAATATTCAAAATGATAAATATTAATAGGGTTATATTAGATGTTTTAATATTTATTTTCATTTTATTTTTTAGAATCAAACAGTAAATATGGACAAATATAACAGTAGTGAATCTAATGAAATTGAATGATATAATTGAAAATATATTTTAGATTTTGTTAGCCAAATTTATTATATTTATACCTTATATTGTGCATTACTAATTATTATTTTCTTTACATATAATTCAACTAATATAATTGATTAAAATAAGACAATAGCAGAAGCAATTGAAGATTACTATGACTTTCGTCAAATATATCTAAAGGTATTAATCAATTCTATTCTAAGAAATACAATTAAAGAAGTTTGAAAGATTTGCTATATATGGCATCCAATTCATATCAACATATTATTTTATTTAAGAATGGCACACATTTGTGTACATATTTGCTTTTGGTATCATGTAGAATTATATGTTGACACTATTTTAAGTTGATGGTCAAAAATCTAAATACACTATTTCATATGATGCTAATACCAACAAGATGGTTTCAAAATAACTCATGGAAATGTTTAGATCTTATTTCTAAAGAGCCTTTTATTAGTGTATCATCTTAAAAAGCTCAGGATGATAAGGATATACAAAAAATTTTTCCTAGACATTATAATAATATTTAAGAAGCTGAAATTAGAAACCATGTACAAAAAAATAGAATATGGTAAAATTATAGGTAACTTTAAAAAGGCTCTAAAATATTCAATAGAGGATGATGATCAAAAAAGGTTAAATGAAACTAATTTGTTATATATTTCTGAAAAAGAAAAAAATGAGAAGCTGAAACGCAATTGACAGTTATTCAAGACCAGAGATTAAGTGTAAAATTAGCTGACGGTCATGAATATTATGTTGATAATATTAAAGATCTAATAGTATATCAGGGCAAGGGTAGACCAGCTACTAAACGTTTGAAAGCTTTCAATGAAGAAAATAGCAAAGCAGATTCTAGCAAGATGCATCAGAATATCAGAGAGAAAAGAAATGATGTAGCAGGTATATGTAAATGCCGTTTATGTCATGAAATAAGACATTATGCGTCTAAATGTCCCAATACATAGAAATTTTCATGCTATATATATAAAAGAATTTATGATCAAAAGTGTGATTTCTTATTTAGATTTATAGTAAGCATCTAAATTTAATATAGTTAAACTTGTATTGTATAATGTACATATTTATTTACTGAAATTAAAATTAGCTTTGATATAAAAATTGTTATAGTACTTCAATTTAATTTTATAATAATGGTACTGTAGCTTAAAAATATCTAAGCTTCTTATTTTATATAGTTAAGTATAAGATTTTTCTAACTAAAATGGCTTGCGTATGTGAAATTAGATTTATCTAATTTAAAGCTTTTTTTTTTTTTACCTGTTATTTAGAGAATTCTAATATAGTTTTACTTTATATAAATTAGGCTTAGTTATACTTTCATGTTGCATTTGGTTAACTATAAAAATTCATTCATTTTAGAATACTAATTCTGTTCCAATTGTTTTCTTCAATAACTATATTTCCTTGATGATTAATACCATTAGACTAAACTCATTATTTAATTTCTTTTACTATATATATGAATATAATGATCATTTAATAATCGAGTATTTAAAGATAAGTTAATTCATTTACATTTAATTTCTTTAATATATGATATGACGATTAAATGACAACATAATTACTTCTTATTTGTTTATTTGTATCATTTAGTTCATAAACATAACAACTATATACTAGTCAGAATATTTAAGTTGTTCTTTTATTGATTTAATGTGTACAATAATTAATATATAGGCACTGTTCAATAGAAAAGAGTGAGTTCTCTTTTTAAATTTGGCTAATTGACCAGAATTAAAAAAAGATCTTACCCTTTTTATTGAACAGCGCCTAATATTTTGACATTTAATCAGTATTGACTTATGACCCATTATAACAGGACCCCGAACAATCTATAGACAAGTAAGATTTTAATTTGCTTATTTTAGACTACTTTTCTGCAGATCTTTCTATTTTTAGTAATTAGTTTGCTTATTTCAGGTTCTTTTTCTGCAGATTTTTCTATTTTTAGTAATTTTTGCAAATTGTTAGCTGTTTGTAGATTGTTCGGGGTTCTATTATAACCTATTGGCAATAATAGGTTATGATCTTATAACCTGTAATAACTACTATTAAGTAACGGAAAGGAAAATCTGTAAAATTGTAAAGTTGATCTTTCTAGTTATGTTAAATAGAAAAAATTTCTATGAAAAATTGGTTTAGCAGCTTAATAAAGTAAAAATAAATCAATTTACTAGTTTTTTATTTGGAAAATTCTATTTTGACTCAGGTCAAAAATGACCCCCTCCTAGAATTTAGGATTAGTGTGGACTAGAAGTATGTTAATGCCAGCCAGGTTTTTATAAAAAACCCTGGTCGGTGTTATTATGATTTGGCCTGTACTAACTCTAAAATTTTGCTAAGAATCATTTTGAGCTAGGTCAATATTCAAAAAAAAAGAAAATTTTAAAGAAAACTAACTACTATTGTTTATATGTTCTTGTGTACTGCCACTTTGCTATTTAAATTTGTATATTCTATACTACATATTAGTCTAGAACAGTTTAATATTAATGATTTTTATTGTGATATTGATTTATATATATATTATTTAGATACTATTACATGAATCATATAATATGATGTATAATATTTATCACCCCTTATGTGATGACTAAATTTGCTCTTAACTTTAAATTAAATTTTACGAATAAATACATCAAGAAAAGGAGAAAAAATTATGTTTTAGACCGAATAAAAATCTTGCAAATTTGATACAATTTAAAATGTAAATCTGTTAAAAAGAAAAATTTAACGGTTTTAAGATAATAATTATATGTAAAATCATATTTTGAACAACTTCAGTCTAAGTGTACAAAAAATTATCTTAGTAAAAAAAAGTTTTATATATACTAATGACAAAATTTCTAGTTTTTTTATGTAAAACTTTTTTTTCTACTTAGATAACCTTTTCTAATCTCTTAAGCAAATTTGTTTAGTACATAATTCTACATATTTTGTGTTTTGTCAATTTTGCTTTTTCACACTTTTTACTAAGTGAAAGATTGGATCAAAAGTTACACAAAAAATTTTTTTTAAAAAAAATTTTTAAAAAAAATTTTTGTATAACTTTTGATCTAATTTTTTACTTAGTAAAAAGTGTAAAAAAGCAAAATCAGCAAGACACAAAATATGTAGAATTATGTGCTGAACAAATTTGCTTAAGAGGTTAGAAAAGGTTATCTAAGTAGAAAAAAAAGTTTTATATAAAAAATTAGAAATTTTAATATTAGTACATAGAAAACTTTTTTTATTAAGATAACCTTTTTGTATACTTAGACTGAAGTTGTTCAGAATATGATTTTACATATAATTATTATCTTAAAATTGTTAAAATTTTCTTTTTAACAGATTTATGTTTTAAATTGTATCAAATTTGCAAGATTTTTATTCAATCTAAAACATAATTTTTTTTCCTTTTCTTGATGTATTTATTTATAAAATTTAATTTAAAGTTAATATGTAAATGAAAAACATCATCACAACTAAGTTTATATATAATTCTATATGTTTTTGCTATAGTTTTATATCTACAAAAATTTACTCCGTGACATATCGTATGACTGATATACATTAAACCCATCTAATTATAATAATAGAATTTGAACCTTTGTTAGATTCGAAAAAAATATACTTACATATATCATTAATTCTTCCTAAGTTAATCGAAATTTGTCTAAGTTACACAACATAAATAATATATGATTATCACCTGATATTATTGTAAAAAATTTAGTAACATGATTACTATTGAAATGTAGATCATTTCACCCTACCCTTAAATATTTTCATTTAAAAGATAGTTCATAATTATTATTTGAATTTCAGATATGATTATATCATATAATTAAAAAAAAATTGAGATAGTATATTATTTGATAAATTATCTGTATCAGTACAAATTTTTGTACTTAAATGTTTTTTTAGCACATCTAGCCAAAATTCAGATAATGAACAAAATATTATTTGCATCACTAATGATGGCATTTCACGAATATCTACGTTCGTTTAGAGCTAGAATTCGCAATTTTTTTGTTAGTGAAACGTTACGTTCCCAAAAAGTACTTTAAAGTGTATAAATAAGTTATCCAGGCAATTGTTTTGCATCAGCCAATCAGACGAATGTCGTCCTAGGGTGTCCAGGATTATGTGAAAGGTAAATTATGCGATGCGATCGGGTCAATTATGCGGTAGATGCGATTTTTATTTTACATCTTTCGGAAGTTTTCGGCTATTTCTACTTTCTGCCCGAATAACGCATTGGGGTGGCCGAAATACTATATAAATCAAAACTATGAATAGTAAAATATAAAAATTTATTATTTAAAATTTTTATACGTATAGATCTCGATTTTATTTGTTATAATTTTTAGCGAAGTTTAAAAAGATGTACAGCCTTAACGGATCGATAGTTTGGGATAAAATTTACTGTCTTTACAAAGTTACAGAGCTATTTTTTCGGTTACATATAAAAAAAATTGATTTAAATCCTTTTTAGAATATATAGTATATATGTTGTGCCTCAGACTAACGCTTGCATAACCTATCGATTATCATCTAAACTGCAATCTAACGAAAATAAGAGAGTAAAATAAATTGAATAAAAGATCTTTTGCTTGAATTCTTTTATTTTTGGATTCTTGGATTTCTTCGCGTTTTTCTCAATGGTAGCATTTTTTAAATCACTCTGGCGTCTTTCTTAACTCCAGTAGCATTTTTTAAATCACTTTGGCATCTTTCTTAACTCCAGTAACATTCTATATCTTTGAATCACTTTGGCGTCGTCTTACCTTCAATAGCATTCTTGAATCTCTGGCAACTGTAGCATTC